TATCCCCCCCCCTTTTTTTTTTTTTTTTTTTTTTTTAATGAAGCCAAAACCTTTATTTAGTTTTCAAGGATGATGTGAGTTTTTTTTTTTTTTTACCTTATTTTGTTTTTTGGTGGGGACCAGTGTCTTTGTGTGCGTATGTGGTGTATTTTTGGTTTGGGTTTGGTTTTGTTGAGACATAGCCCTACTCTATAGCAAAGGCTGGCCTTGAACTGTGATTCTCCTGCCTCAGGTTCCTGAATGTTGTCATTATAGCCATGTGTTACCACATTTTTTTTTTTTTTTTACCTTATTTTGTTTTTTGGTGGGGACCAGTGTCTTTGTGTGCGTATGTGGTGTATTTTTGGTTTGGGTTTGGTTTTGTTGAGACATAGCCCTACTCTATAGCAAAGGCTGGCCTTGAACTGTGATTCTCCTGCCTCAGGTTCCTGAATGTTGTCATTATAGCCATGTGTTACCACATGTGACAAGATTATTATTTTTTTTTAAAAGATAGGGTCTCCTATATCCCAGGCTGGCACCAAACTCACTCTATGGCCAAGGGTGACCTTAAGCTTCTCTGATCCTTCAGCATCTGCCACTTGGGTACTGGGATAACAGGCATGTGTTGCCACACCTAATTTATGCAGTGCCAGGCATAGAACCCAGGATTTTGTGCATGCTAGGCAAGCACTCTACCAACTCCCAATACAGATGTATTTGTTTAATTGAATTTTTAGTCCTCTGTTGTGAAGGGGAAGTTGGTAAAACATGAAAAGAAATATTTCCTATTTTAGCTATACTATGATATGGTTATAATAAAATCATCCCCTTTACCTTGGTTTTGACATGCTAATTGAAAGAATAATCAGATATTCTGGGTCCAGAGAAATCTGTGCTGGAACTTGCTATATAGACCAGGCTGACCTTGAACTCACAGAGATCTGCAGGCCTCTGCCTTCTGATTACTGAGTGCTGCGATTAAAGGCGTGCACCACCACAAACTAATTTCTATCTATTTTCTTACCCTAGGAGAGTACTTGCTTTTCACAAAAATTTCATTGCATCATAGCTCTGTATTGGGATTTTTAGATTACTCTCAGCTCTTTGAGAACTGGGAAAAAATTTATTACGTATTTTTGTAAGTATATTTACATAGATATAATGCAGATATTATATACAATCTATTTAAAATTATAGTTCTTTTATTAAAAATAAAGTCTTGGGCTGGCAAGATGGTTCAGTGGGTAAAAACTCCGGCTGCCAAGCCTGAGGACCTGAGTTCAGTGTCTGAAATCCACATGGTGGAAGGAGAGAGCTGACTCCCATAAGTTGTCCTTTGACATCCACGTGTCTCTCTCACACACACACGCACACACACACACACTAAATGGGATTTTGAAAAGAAAGAATAAAATCTTTCATTAAGATTTCTTTTGAAAGCTGGATATGGTAGAACAGGCATGTATTTCCAGTACTTGGGAGGCAGAGGCAGGAGGATCAGAAATTCAAGACTAACCCCAGCTATGTGTAGAGTTCCTGGCCAGCATGGGGATGTGAGACTCTGTCTACAGAAAGAAGCCTTTTTTTAAAAGCACTGGCTGTTCTTGCAGAAGATCTAGGTTTGAATCTCAACACCCACATGGCAGCTAGCAACTGTCTGTAACTCCAGTTCCAGAGGATCCAACACCCTCTTCTGTTATCCAGGGGCACTGCATGATACAGGTGCACTTACACACATGCAGGCATAACACTCATGAACCTAAAATAAAAATAATAAGTAGAATATTTAATAAAAATGTGATTTAAATATTGATATTTCCTCCAGTTATAGAATGTATATATGCAGTCTTTCTGTTTGATTATTTTATTTTTATGTGTATGAGTGTTTTCCTTGCATGTGTGTAAGTGCTCCATAATGTGTGTAATGCCCACAGAGGCCAGAATAGGGCATCAGATCCCCTGAAACTGGAGACAGATGGTTGTTAGCTGCCATGTGAGTGATGGAAACCAAACCTGGGTCCACTGCAAGAGCAGCCAGTGCTCTTAACCACTGAGCCATCTCTCCAGCCCCAGTTTTTCCTTCTCTTCCCTTCCCTTCTTTTCAAATAAATTATGGTTTTTAGAACTGTGGTCAAACTATATATGGTATTTAGTCCTCCCCTCCTTCCCCTTCCCCCATCCCCTCCTTTACTTTCTTCCCCTCCCTCCCTCCCTTCCTCTCTTCCTGTCTGTCTTCATTCTCTCTGTTTGTTTGTTTGTTTATTTATTTATTTATTTATTTTTGAGGCAGGGTCTCCATGTAGCCACAGCTGGCCTAGAACTGGCTATGTAGACCAGGCTGGTCTTGATCTCACAGAGATTCTCCTGTCTCTGCCTCTTTAGTGCTGGGACTATAGGCACGTGTCATCATACCCAATTACATGTACCTTTTAAATGAAAGAACAAAGCTGGGCATGGTGGCAGCCTCTGTGAGATCTGTGAGGTCAAGGCCAGCCTCCTCTATGCAGTAAATTCCAGGTCAGCTAGGGCTACAGGGAGACCCTGTTTCAAAAAGCAAAATAAATTAAAAATTAAAAAAATAAAAAATTTAAAAACAAATACTGCATTTGCTGAGGACCTAGGTTTGATTCCAAACACCCATATCAGGTGGTTCATAGCTGCTTATAACTCCTGTTCAGGGAATCTAACACCTTCTTCTGGTCTCCTTGAGCACTATACTCACATGTACAAGCCCTCACACATAGACACACATAATTAGATAAATAAAAAAAAATGTATATGAGAGAGAAAAACCCTCACAATCATTGCCACCTAAATATTAATAATTTGTCTCATATAACAAAGAATATAGGGTCCAGTCTGCCATCCTGAAAATAATTTTGTGAGCATTCTTTGTACTCTTTTATATTTTATTAAATTAATTAATTAAAAAGTTTTTGAGATAGTCTCACTCTCTAGCCAGCTGACTCAACCTTGAGGCAATCTTTCTGCCTTAACCACCTGATTCCTGGGTTGTAGATGTGAGCCGCCACTCTTGACCCTTTGTACTATTAATAAATGCTGACTGTATAATTAATTTTGCCCAACTGTGTTTCAATTATGATGCTTTACTATGTGAAATGTATTTTCAGCTCCTTGATCTCAGGAAACTCTGTCTTAAGCTTCTTACTTCCTCATGCTCACCGCATGTTTGCTGTATTGTTTTTTTGTTTCTCTAATTTTTTATTTTATGTGTGTGAATGTATTGCCTGCGTGTATGTAAGTGCACCTGTGTCATGGAATGGCTGTGAAGGTCAGTTCCCTGAAACTGGAGTTACAGATGGTTGTCAGCTACCATGTGGGTGCTGGGAATTGAACCTGGGTCCTCTGCAAGAGCAGCCAGTGCTCTTAGCCATGGAGCCATTTCTCCCCATGTTTGCTGTTTTGTATCTGTAACATTCTGTTTCTAGAACCTCACGTTTATGTCTTGTAAATCATTTTCTCTAAAAAGAGCCATATTCTTGTATAACTGTAATGTTCTGAATAAGATCTTGGAAGATACCTAGAAATGCCTTTTTGCTGTTAATTCTTCCAAAGGCCCAGAAGGAGTTACTAGACACAGAACTGGACCTCCACAAGAGACTGTCTTCAGGTGAAGATACAACAGAATTACGGAAAAAACTTAGTCAGTTACAGGTTGAGGTGAGATTTAACTTACACAGTGTCTCAAAAAATTATATTTTCTCTTCCAAACTTAACCTGAGAAGGTTTAGACTAACAATGCACATTATCTCCTACTTTCTGTTGTTTAGGCTGCAAGATTAGGTATTTTACCTGTTGGGCGAGGAAAAACCATGTCCTCTCAAGGTCGAGGAAGAGGCCGAGGTCGAGGAAGAGGGAGGGGCTCACTAAATCACATGGTGGTGGACCACCGCCCCAAAGCACTCACGGTTGGGGGATTCATTGAGGAGGAAAAGGATGAATTGCTTCAGCATTTCTCAGTAAGTTTTTAAGGTAGCACATGCTAACTCTAAAAGCACTGTATTCAGCATTTTCTTTGCTTCAGTCTATAAATATCAAATAATTTCTAGGGTAGAAAATTTAGTTGTTAAAACATGGATGTTAGCAAATTCTTACTAATATTTTTGAAGATCAGGAAGTAGGTCTCGCTTTGTAATTCCATAATATTCTACATAAACACATTTGCAGTGACAAGTTGTTCCAAAGCTTTATTTGATTTTAGGATTATTACATGGTTTACCAGGCATTTCTAGTCAACAATCTAAAGTGATCTGGAATAGAGGGAAAACTCAGAGAAAAAGTTTACTAGACTGGCATGTTTATTCTGTGTTTAATACCAGCCAGTTTTATGTGCAAATATTTTGGCTGTAGGCATGTGCCATGGTATGCTTGTAGAAGTCAGGACAACTTTTGGAAGTTAGTTCTTTCCTTCCAACATATAGGTCCCAGGAATCAAACTCAGGTCATCAGGCTTAGCAGCAAGTACCTTTAACCACTGAGCCACCTAGCTAGCCCCCCTCCCCCCATACACCCACATCTTTTTTGAGAAAAATCTTTTTTGAGAAAATGAGGCAGTGGTGGTGTACACCTTTAATCCCAGCTTTGAGTAGGCAGAGGCAGGTGAGTTTCTTGAGTGCAAGGCCAGCCTGGTCTATATAACAATTTCCAGGCCACCCACAGTTACACAATGAGACCTTGTTTGGGGGGTCTAGGGGAAGCTAGTGAGATAAATTGTTAATAGAAAGACCACTCACAGTTTAAAATATGTATAGAAGGGTTTTGGGAGAAAGTTCAATTGGTAAATTGCTAGTTAAGAAAACATGAAGACCTGAGTTCTGATCCCCAGCATCCATGTAAAATTGGGCCAGCGTTATGTACTTGTAATTCCAGTGCTGGGGTAGCCAGCCAGTCTAGCCATCTGATGAGCTCCAGGTTCTCAAAAAAAAAAGAAGGTGGAAATGTTTGAGAAAGATACTCAACATCAGCCTTAGGCCTCCATGAGCATGTTAACATACAAATACATTCTGGCACACACACACACAAACTATAACATGTATAGAATATGTAATATACAATCTAAGTTATATATAAACAGTATGAGAACATGTATTTTAATAGTTTGTGTCAAAAATTGGAATACTTTGGGTTGGAGAGATAGCTCAGCAGTTAGAAGTGTTTCCTGCTCTTCTAAAGGACCCAAGTTCAGTTCTCAGTACCCATATCAGGCAGATCACAACCACCGGTAACTGTAGCTCTGAAGAATCCAACATGCTCTTACTGCCTTCTCAGGTGTCCACATGCATATGGCATATACCACACACCACACAGTCTCTGTCTCTCTGTTTCTCTCTGTCTCTCTGTCTCTCTGTCTCTCTGTCTCTCTCTCTCTCTCTCTCTCTCTCTCTCTCTCTTTCTCTCTTTCTTTCTCTCTCTCACACACACACAGATAAAAAAAAAATCAATCTTAAAAAAGTAGACAGACATTTTCTATAAGGAACCAGGTTGTAAGGCTGGACATGGTGGTACATGCCTTTAATCTTAGCGGTCAGGAGACAGAGACAGGCGGATCTCTATGAGAATACCTGGTCTACATAGTGACTTCTAGACTACCCAGGGCTACATAGTAAGACTGTCTCAAAAACAGACAGAAAGGACTGTAAAATATTTTAGGTTTTTTTGTGGACTACAAATAGTCTCTGTCACATTTTTTCTCACTTCCCATTTACCTTTTCTTCCTCCTCCTCTTCTGCTTCTTTTACCTTTTCTCTTTTTGTTCCGCCTTTCTTTTGTGCTTGCTTATCTTATAGTCCTATTTATTGAAATAGGGTCTCATGTAGTCCAGGCTAGCCTCAAGTTTACTGTATCACCAAGGCATGCTTTGAACTCAGGATCATCCTGCTTCCTAGTGTTGGGATTATGGGTACATACCACCATTCTGGCTTTGTTTTTTGAGACTGAGTCTCACCTCAGGCAAGCTTGGAACATTTTTATATATATATATACTTGTTTCAAACTCATTCTCCTGCCTTTAAGTGCTAGATTACAAGTCTGCACCATGGTGCCTGGCCTTATTTCCCCCCTTTTAATAACTTTTTTAATTTTTATTTTATGTGTATGCGTGTATTGCTTGCATGTAGGTAAGTGCACCTGTGTCGGGCAATGCCTGCAGAAGACAGAAGAGGCCGTCAGATCCCCTGGAACTGGAGTTACGGACAGTTACTAGCTGCCATGTGGGTGCTGGGATTTGAACCCTGGTCTTCTGCAAGAACAACCAGTGTTCTTAACCGCTGAGCCATCTCTCCAGCTCCCTAATAACCTTTTTAATAAAGTAAAAACAATATTTAGTTCATAGGCTATCAAAAGCAAAGTTTTGAATGAGGTGCAGTCCATGTGCTCCTATAGTACTGCTGCCTAGGAGCTGAGGCAGGATGGATCTTTGAACCCAAGACTTGAGGTTTACCTAGAAAACACAGAAAAACCATCTCTTAAGATAAATAAAACCCAAGTGCTATACTACATTTGGTCTGGAAACTTAGTTGCAGAACCTCCTGGTATATGTTATTTTATTACTTCAGACATTAAATATTAAGTTTAAAAACATTTGTGTTAAATATGAAATATATAATTATAAATAGAATTTTATGCATTTTAAAGGTCAAAATCAGTGACTTCAAGAAACCTTTTTTAAAAGAGAATATATTTTTCATGTTACAGAGATCTAAGGGTATTAAAGATCAACGTTTATTGGTGCTGTTTGTTTTGATATTTTCGTTTTGTTTTGAGGGTCCTGTGTAGCTCAGGCTAGCCTCAGACTCACTACATACCTGAGGCTGGCCTTAAATTCCTGATGCTCTTGCCTCTAGAATTACAGAACAGTGCCACTATGCCTTTAGCATCAGTTAAAGATCCTTAATATTATTAAGAATTCCCATGAAGTGTTTTAACATAAAGTTGAATTCAGAAGCTGAGAATTGTAACTCATGGAGCTTTTTTGAGATGGCAAACAGGAAGGCACTAAAGTATATTCCTTCATCCCTATTTGAAAAAGATTTGACTGGCTTCAATAAGGAAAGTTGTTTTCCTAAATGTTGAAAATAATTGAATTGCAAATTTTGGAATTTTTCAAGTAGAAAAGATCAGTAAAAAAGATCTTTTTATTTTTAAGATTTATTTATTGCTGGGTGTGGTGACACATGCCTTTAATCCCAGCACTTGGCAGGCAGAGTTAGGTGGATCTATGTGAGTTCGAAGCTAGTCTGGTCTACATAGTGGTTCCAGGCCAGCTGGAGTTACAGGGAGACCCTGTCTCAAAAAAAGATTTACTTATTTTGTGTGTATGCATGTGTGCATGAGTGTATGTATGTGCACCAAGTGCATGAAGGTGCCCACAGAGACCAGAAGAGGGCATCAGATTTCCTGGAATTAGGGTTACATGTGGTTATGAGCTGCCTGACGTAGGTGCTGGGTCCTCTGGTAGAGCAGTATGCACTCTTAACTATGGAGCCATTTCTCCAGAGCCCCCCATCCACACCATACACACCCATGTGTACACACACAATTAACTTTTAGGACATGACTGTTACAAGTAACAATTCATAGTAGGTTATGGAACCCAGACATGTGTCCTAAATATTACAAAATTCTGCCTGCTCTAAAATTTTTTAATTAATTTCCGTGTGTGTGTGTGTGTGTGTGTGTTTGTGTGTTGTGTGTGTGCATGCTTGCATGCACTTCTGTGGAGGTCAGAGGACGTTTGGAAGTTAGTTTTCATCTACTGTGTGTGTCCCAGGAATTGAACTTGGGTTATCAATCTTGGCAAGCTTTGCTACACACTGAGCCATCTCTCTGGCCTCTGTTTTTAAATTTTGTATATGAATGGGATGACATATTCTTTTGTGTCTTTGCTTCTGTTTTTTGTCATCATGTTACATGTAATATTGGTTAGATATATTTGTGTCTTTGTGTGTTTATATCCAGTATGTGTACATATCCAGTATGTGCACATATGCATGCACATGTAGGCCAGAAGTCAATATTGGGTGTCTTAATTGCTCTTTACCTTTTTTAACTTTTGTTTATTTATTCTTTAAGTGTGTGTTTTACTTGCATGTATGTAATACACTGCATGTACACCATGTGTACAATGTCTGTGGAGGCCAGAAAAGGGTGTCTAATCCCTTTGAACTGGAATTACAGATAGTTGTTAGTCACCATGTGTGTTCTGGGAACCAAACCCAGGTTCACTAGAAGAACAGCCATGCGCTTAGTTCACTGAGCCATCTCTCCTGCTCCTCTGCCTTATTTTTTGAGACAGAGTCTCACTGAACTTGGGGCTTGCTGTTTGGTTAAATTGGCTGGCCAATAGGATTGTCCTGTCTGCATCTCCCCAGTGCTGGGATTACAGCACTGTAATGTGCTGCTGTGCTTGGCTTTTACTTCAATGCTGGGGGACTGAGCTCAGGTCCTCATGCTTGCATGGCAAGCACTTTACCCACTGAACAATTTCCCTAGTCCCCCTCTTGCTGTTTTTATTACTTACTGTGTAGCAGTCTATTTCATAAACATACTGCAGCTTATGTTCTGTAATTAACAGATACTTGGATTACTTTAAATTTTATGACTTCTATTAAATGTTGCTAGAACAGTCTTCTAATTTTTTTAAAAAATATATCTCTCTATTCTGGGTGTGGAGGTGCATGCCTTTAATCCCAGCGCTCAGGAGGCAAAGGCAGGTGGATCTCTTTGAGTTCAAGGCCAGCCTGGTCTACATAGTTCCAGGACAGCTGGGGCTACAGGGAGACCCTGTTTCAAAAAAGAGCCCCCCCCGAAAAAAAACCCTGTCTCTCTATATACATACACGTACACATTTCTACTGCATTTATGTGGAGTTACTGAGTAAACCATACCAGTTTTAGATTCTTACCAACTTACAATCAGCTTCTCCCCAGTCACTGTGAGAGTTTCTGATTTGGTATCATCAGAATACATCTTTATTCTAATAGCTAATTTTACCTGATTTATCATGTAAATAGTGGGAATTGTTCTTTATATTTAGTCGTAATACTAATTAAATTTCTATTTCTTCCTTTAATAATATGTACATAGTACATGTAAGTCTATATATTTCCTTTTCAAGGACAGAACTACCTTTTAAATCTTTGTAAATCTACAGATTTGGAAAATATTCATTGCTTTTTTTGAGTATAAAATGTTTTTTTGTTTTGTTTTTTTATTTATTTTAATTTTATGTGTATGAGTATATTGCTTGCATGTGTGTAAGTGCACCCATGTTGTGCAGTGCCCGTGGAAGTTAGAATAAGGCATTGGATCCCCTGGAACTGGAGTTCAGATAGTTGTTACTTGCCATGTGGGTGCTGGGTATTGAACCCAGGTCCTCTGCAAGAGCCGTCAGTGCTCTTAACAAACTTCCTTTGTAGCCCAGGCTGGCCTTCAGCTTCTGATCCTTTCATCTCTACCTTCCAAGTGCTGAGATTACAGGTGTACAGTAAATTTAGATAATATAAAAATGAACAAAAGCAGAGAAACACTCTGTAATTGAACTATATTGAAAGGGTAGAGTAAGGGGAAAAGGTGTTTTGTATACACATTAGCTGATGATGAATACATGTTTGGATAGGACCATTTCACTTCTTCAGTTTTGTATGTTTTAATGTTTGATGTTATGAGTATTCAGCCCCTCAGGGAATGATGAAAATTAATTTTCTTAGTCACAGGATGGGATCAACACGGGACCCATACTCTGACTAGACAGTGACTTAGGTGTTCTTTGGACACATTTGGCAAATGTTTCATGTAGTTTATCAGTGGTTTTCCTAGATAAACTGGAATGAAGCTTCACATTAAAAAGAAGTAGGGCTGGAGAGATGGCTCAGGGGTTAAGAACACTGGCTGTTCTTTCAGAGAACCTGGGTTTGAATCCCAGCACCCACATGGCACCTAACAACTGTCCGTAACTCCAGTCCCAGGGGATCCAACACCCTCTTCTGTTCTCCATGGGCATTGCATGACACAAGTGCACTTACATACATGCAGGCAATATACTCATACACATAAAATAAAATTTTTTTTAAAAGTAGCCAGGCATGGTGGTGCACACCTTTAATCCAGCATTCAGGAGGCAGAGGCCGTCTGTGAGACTGGCAGTCTGTGAGATTAAGGCCAGCATGGCCTGTATAGTTAGTTCCAGAGGTCAGCTGGTGCTACAGAGAGAACCTGTCTCAAAAAACAACAAAGATCAAAACAAAAAAGGGAAGTAGTACAGTTGTTAGAGTATTTGCCTAGCCTATGCCTCTGGGTTTGATCCCAGTACTGGGGAGGTAGAGGCAGGATCAGGGGTTCAAGGTCATCCATAGCTACATTTGGAATTTATGACCAGTGTGTAATACATGAGACCCATTCTTTAAACAAACAAAATCCTCACTGAAATTTGCTGAGAGAAAAATATTTAGAAATTGGAACCGAGGAAACCCCTTCAGGGTTGGGGATATAGCCCTTGCATAATGTGTACAAGACCCTCAGCTCAATCTACAGTGCTTGCTTGTTTTTAATTAAAGCAGAGGCAGTTTTACTAGAGGTTGGATAGTGTGGCTTACTTTTTTTTTTTTTTTTGAGACACGGTCTCACCCTGAGGTCCAGGCCAGCCTAGAACTTAAAATGTAGCCCAGGCTGGCCTTGAGTTTGAGGTAATCCTCTTGTCTCAGCCTCCTGAGTACTAGGATTGTAAGTGTGAGCCACCAAAACCAACTCTAATTAACCTGTGTTGAGTTTATAGATGAATTGGAAGTTCTGAGAATTCCTGAGAAGAAATTGGGCCAGGCATGGTGGTTTATTAAACCTATAATCCTAGCGCTTGGGAAGCTGATAAAGGGTTCTAAACCAGCCCTGGCTCTGTAACAAGACCCTGTCTCGAGAAGAAAGAGAAGGGAATGTCTCGAGAAGAAAAAGAAGGGAAAGTTGGAAGAGCTTTATCTAATATAACTGTAAGAAATACAGTGAAATGAATTGACCTGAGACAGTTCATTTCTTAAAGATTACTTATTTTTAAGGTTTGAGTCCAGTTAGGTAGACATCAGAGTCAGAGGCCAACAGTTGAATGGAGTGTTGTCCTCATCATGACTTGTACAGTAGAGCAACTATAATAGTATAACCCAATCAAAGTAATGCTAAAATTTACTTGGCATATATAAAATCCATGGACTGTAATAGGCAGACTAAAACATGTAATTGCTTTAATTGAAAGGTATTTCACTTTTTCTAGATCATGACTTCACCATAACAGATTACCACCTCCCTATTCATTACCCTTTTGAAAGAGCATAAATTTTGAAAAAATCTTTAGTAAATATGAGTGCATACTTACGTGTTCTTCTAAATACACTTTAGGCTGCAAATCAAGGGTCAAAATTCAAAGACCGTCGACTACAAATATCATGGCACAAGCCCAAGGTACCGTCTATATCTGCTGAGACTGAGGAAGAAGAAGTCAAAGAGGAGGTAAATTCAACCATTGAAAATGAGAATTGAATTACATTCTTAGCAGTTTTCTGTTTTTCTTTACATCAAATACTGTAATATAAAAATAGAAGCTAGACCTTTTTTTTTTTTTTTTTTTTTTTTTTTTTGGTCTTTTTGAGACAGGGTCTCCCTGTAGCCCCAGCTGTCCTGGAACTTACTATGTAGACCAGGCTGGCCTTGAACTCACAAAGATCCACCTGCCTCTGCCTTCTGAGTGCTGGGATCAAAGGCATGAGCCACTGCGCCCGGCTGACTTTTTTCATGTATCCAGCTAGTTAAAGCTGTTCTAGAAGTAACAATCAGCCTCTTAAAACAGGAGAATTAATTTTGTATTTTTTATGTATATTTCTAATTAGTTTCTAAACATTTAGCCACAATATAAATTATTTCTGATTTTATCAACTTGCTTTTAAAAGTTGTCAGACATTTCTAGCTTTCTTATTTTCTGACTATATAAGAACAGTAGAAATATTCCCCATGTTAAGAAGGAAATCTTAGTATTTTGATAAGGTTTTGAGAATTAATTTTGTATTTTTTATGTATATTTCTAATTAGTTTCTAAACATTTAGCCACAATATAAATTATTTCTGATTTTATCAACTTGCTTTTAAAAGTTGTCAGACATTTCTAGCTTTCTTATTTTCTGACTATATAAGAACAGTA